CCACCTTGTGTTTGAACACATGTAATAGCTCCTGCATACATATCTTTAATGATTTGAATATAAGCATTATTGACTCCTTTCTTTTTAAGAACTCTCCATAGCACTTCTCTTGGAACTTTATCATATGCTTTTTCTAAATCAATAAATATCATATGTAGATCCTCCTTATTTTCTCTATATTTCTCCATCAAACCTCTTAATAAATGTATGGCTTCCATAGTCGACCTACCCGGCATGAATCCAAATTGATTTTGAGAAACATTAGTATCACGCCGCAACCTATGCTCCATAACTCGCTCCCATAGTTTTAAAGTATGACACATTAACTTAATACCTCTATAATTCGCACAATCTTGTGCATCACCTTTATTCTTAAAAATAGGAATTAACATACTCATTCTCCACTCATCTGGCATCTTTTTAGTCTTCAAAATAGTATTAAAAAGTTTAGTAAGCCATGAAATTCCTTCATCTCCTAAGCATTTCCACACCTCTATTGGGATATCATCAGGTCCAACAGCTTTTCCACCCTTCATTTTCTTTAAAGCCTCTGTAACTTCAGTTTTACTAATACGCCGATAAAAACATAAATCTTTATTTTCATTTAGGGTGCTAAGGTCACTATAGTCAATCTTATTTTCACAGTCTTTATTAAAAAGTTTAGCAAAATATCTCATCCATCTTTGTTGAATATCATCTTCTAAGAAAAGTATTTTTTGATCTTCATCTTTAATACACTTCACTTGAACTAAATCCTTACTACTCCTATCTCTTTGTTTGGCTAACTTATACATATATCTTTCTCCCTCTTTAGTATCTAATCTATTATATAAATCACTAAAAGCTAATGTCTTTGCATCGCATATGGCTTTCTTAGCATCCTTACGAGCAACTTTATATATTTCCCAATTATCGGAATTTTTAAAATTAAACCAATTTTTATAACAAAGCTTCTTATTTTTAATTTTTTCTTGCACATTAGGATTCCACCACCAACTATTTTTACTATTAGGAGCTTTTCCCTTTGATACTCCAAGGACATCTTTTGCAATATTCTTAATATCACTAGCCACTTTTTCCTACATAATATTAGCATCCTCATGCACAGACAAAATCTTACGATCTAAAATCTTATCTCCAAAAATATTTTTGTTAATATTCTTTAAATGCCCCCATCTAATCCTAGAAAATTGTTTTACTTTATTTTTTATTTTATGCCCCTTTATCTTAAAGTCCAAAACTAATAATCGATGTTGGGTACATAAATTTTCACTCGGAATAACTTTACAATCTTTGCAATCTAAACGATTTAATTTTCTAATAAGAAAATAGTCAATCTGGGTTGTACTATATCCATTTTTATAAGTGATGAGATGCTCATTCCTTTTCTTAAATAAGGTATTAGCAATTGAAAAATCATAAGCTAAACAAAAATCCAATATGGTCTTGTCACCTTCATTTGTCGTTCCAAATCCATGACCACCATGAATGCTTCTAAAATCATCTACCTCTCTACCAACATGTCCATTTAAATCTCCTTCAATAAAAACTCTTTCTTCAAGAGGTATCTTTTGTATTAATTTTTCTAAGTCATTCCAAAAATTTAATTTATAACTCATATCCAAACCTATTTGAGGAGCATAAGCACTTATAATATTAACAATCTTATCATCAACAACAATCTTTAAAGCTATAATTCTATCTTCAATCATATTAATTTTTATAACATTATCCTTTAAACTCTTATCTATAATAACACCTACACCATTTCTAGTACGACTCCTACCTGAATACCAAAGTTTAAATCCTAAAATATCAATTTCCTTAGCCTTCTCTCCAACCCATTTAGTTTCCTGAATACACAAAATATTTAACTTCCTATGAATCATAATATCTATTAATTTCATTAATTTTCCTGTAAGGGAACCTATATTCAAAGTTCCTATCCTAATTTTAGTTTCATGGACTAGCTTCTTTGCCCACGTCCGTCCTTGATGTGGGAACCCTTGCCTATTTAACACTGCACCCGGGCGCCGGTGCAGCGGCCCTTGCACACTTTTCAATGTATTCAGGCCATACAGCGCGTCGCTTCCAGGGGACGCCCTAGCTTTAACACAATTTCTTAAAGGAAGATCTTGAAAAAACAGCACCAGAAAAAAATTATTTTGGAGTACTCCATCTTGACGAATCATTCCTTGTGCTTTACATTTTAAACTCCATAACATTTTACAATTTGACAGGACAAGGCAAAATTTACAAGAGACTAACCCAGGAAATATTACTCCTGAGGAACAAATCCCTGCATATTAGTTAACATCTTGGTCGTCGTCATTACAACAGAAATTTTATTCACCCTTTAAATGTCGAATATTCATCGAAGTAGATACACTCATTGCCTCAGAATCATCGGGGTTCAAAAGACACCCAAATAAGCATGAAAAACTAATGCCCACAACCTTCACACCCTAAAATGTTGTAGACAGCCAACGAGGTTTTGCTTGCTTTGTAATTGGCACTAACTGTAACATTAGTAATAGCAAAGGTGCTACCAAGAGAGGATGCCTACATTAAATCAGCAAATATAAAACCTAGAAGACTAAATGTGATTAAGGAGCAAAAAAGGCAAGCGATACCTGAGTGTAGATACAAGGTGAAGGGTAAGTCTCGGGATCCCTCGACACGGCATGGAGGGAAATGGACAAGAAATCGACCGAGTAACACTTGTCTCTGTCTGTATCACTCAGCCATATCACTCTTCTGTTTCCAGAAGCAAGATAGTGAATAATAAACCAATTAACTTCAAGTAAACAAAAAGAATTAGATAGGTTGGGAAATGACCTGTTAGAGATGTAGAGCGTGCCGGGTGATTCTGGCGAAAGGCGACCAAGGGCAATGGTGATCCCGGGTTGTACGTGCATGAGCTCCTCGCCTCCGACAGAGTCGAATCGGGGCTGGCCGATTCCTTCGCCTATCCGGTCTGTGAAATGCCTAATCCCTACAATCATCGCGCTTTGCTTGTCTACTTCCCGTCTCACACTGAAGATTTTCGCTCTTTGCCACTCCCTCTACTTAAAAAGCCCGTATTCTCACTCCAATTAAAGAACTGAGGCATTTAGCAACTATTAAAGAGGTTCCTAAAAAAGATCAACTATTGGTGGGGCATCCCCCTTATTTAAATGATGCAATCAATGCTATAATGAAATTGCTGAGAAGCCCGCAAGAAGCAAGGGGCTATCAATCAGATTTGGTTCTGAATGTAGGGTGCTATTGCAGTTATTTGGCTGCCTTTGTGTGGATCATTCAAGGATGCTAGTTTGGTACTTCCTAGATGTTTTATTGTTGGCTTGATAGTGGGATCCCATCCCATCAAAGCTAATGGATGGTAGTGTTTTGTTCTTTGAAGTTCAAGTCTTATGTGTAGTAGTAGATTTGAAGAGAGTGGATATTTCAGGTACATGAGCAATAAAATTGAGAAGTTTCTATGTTTTCAAATGGCTGAAGAATTAGATTTTTAGGTTATTGTAATCTTTATGAATAATTGTTGTTCTTCTTTGAGCAAGGTTTTATCTATTAAGGGGAAGCCCAGTTTAACAAGCATTGAGCTCTATCTCTTAAGGGCTATTGAAGACTTATCTAGGATAAGTGATAAAGTGGTTGTGTTGGTTAGAATGTTGACTTCGATGAGGAGTATCAATATATGTGGTCCTAATAGGGAAGAAGTGGCAATATGGCTGCTAGGATTGGATGGTTTCAACTTATTTTTTAATTTGCATTATGAAATTAGAGTAAGAGAATTTGGGAATCTTCCTAGTTTTCACTTTTCACATAACTGAAAACTCTGAGATACTAGCCAACATATTTGGTTGTTTAAAATTTGGTGTTCCCAACATCTAAATTGGTTCAAAGTGATGAGTAGTGGATCTTATTTCAATTATGATATTTTCATTTTTGCTAATACTTTTTTATGCTTAGTTTGCTCTTCAATAATGTATCATTTCCCAATGTTAAGATAGGAAAGCCTTTTAGCTTTATGTATTTTTTAGTTTGTAATAGTTTTTTCCTTATCTTAATGCAATTTACATTTCTTCAAAAAATAATAATAATATTAGAAACTTGCGAAGGCAAGTGAATTTTTTTAATTGGATTTATTTTTTTTTTATGTCTTTTCAGTCATGTCGATCTGACCCAACTCATATTTTTATACATTTTTAAAGAGGGGTTAGGGTTGGTGCTCCATTTTAAGAAAAAACCTATGAAATCTCCCAAATTCAAATATTTAGGAATTCTGATACTTTTTAGAAAGAAAAAAAATGAGGTCCAACATTTCTATATTCGTAGAGATGGAATGCAAATGACATGAAGGATGAAAGGGGGTTTGGAAACATTCAGTAATCGTAAGTTAATTTGGCTAGAACTGCTGAGTGTTTCAACTTATCAGTAAAATTCTACATCATCCCAAGTTATTTTAAGGGTTTCCAAAGCTTTTATAAATTTATAGAGTTCTAAAACAAAGATGTGTAGAAAAAGGTACATTAATGCTCAGTACAAGTGTATACAAGTGCGTAGAAAAAGTAAAATAACACTATGCTTTTGCTACTGCACTTTCTTTGTGGAAGCGTGTTTATCGTACGCTTTCCCGGCTCCTTCTATGTGCTTTTGTTTCTCTTAGGCTACGCTTTTTGGGTGCTTTTGTTGAGCTTTTGATATTTCACTACACCTTCATTATGATTTAAATATATTTTCACTGCACTTTTTAACTAAGAAATGTGCATAGCAAAATTGCAGTAAAAGCACAGCAAAATGCATCAAAAGTGTAGTGAGAGCGCAGTAAGAGCCCACTAAAACTCAGTGAAAGCCCACTGAAAGCGCAGCAAAATCAGTCATTTTTAATAAAATTTACCTTAATTTTTTATTAATAAAGAAAATTTTCTAGAAAATTATTATAACATATTTCAATAATCGTGCTTTCATTGCACTTTCTGGGTGCTTGCAATACTCTTTTAAGTGCACTTTCACTGCACTTTACTTCGTATTACATACTGCTCTTTTGATGTGGTTTTGTTGTGCTTTTTCAACCATTTTGTTAACTTTCATTGTGCTTTTGTTGCATTTTGGTTGTGTTGTCACTACACTTTACTTCATATTACATGTTGTCTATAAAGATGAGAAAGAAGCATATGATGCTTATTATCGTTATGGCATAATACTGGCTTTAGTGTATGCAAGGATCATAACAATTACTGGCCAAATTCTATTAAGATTAAATCTACAGACTTTGTATGTTCAAAAGTTGGTTTCAAAAAGAGATTTGAATTGAATTCCTATGTGAAGTATCAAAAATCAGAGACAAGAATAGGTTTTCCATCTTTAGTTTGGTTTGTGATTAATAAAGTAGGAAATTGGAATATGAAAAATTTTATTGAATCACACAATCATGATATATCTAGGCCAGAAGATTTACACCTCCAGAGATCATGTAGGAATATTGATGATGAGAAAGCTTCAGTTCTAAAATCAAAGATAAAAGTCGGGATAAGAACGTTGTTTCATTTTCCTACCTTGTAGAGGAATTTAAAGGTATTGAGAATGATGGATTCTCTAAGAGGGATGCATATAACTTTATTCAGAAGAAGAAAAGAGTAAAGATTGAATTTAGAGACATGAATTCTTTGATTCAATTATTTAAAGATCATCAAGTGGATGACATCATGTTTGTAAGGGATGTCTAAATTAATGAATTTGATATATTATTAAAATTTTCAGGTTGAATGGATGGGTAGGATAGATTATGACTATTCTGAAAATATTATGATTTTTTATATTTACTATAGACTAAATAAATACATTTAGTTTATGCAAAATTTGTCGGTGCTAATAATTATTAACAAAACATTTTGCTAGAGATGGCCTTTTTAGTCAAAGAAAAAATTGAATCATTTATATGATTGTTTAGAATATTTTTATGAATAATGGATGATAAACATCTAATGACTATATTTATTAATCATGACTAAGCAATGACTAGGGCCATAGAAGTTTTATTACCTTACACTCATCATAGACTATACCAATGACACATCTCCAAAAAAGATCCATCAAAAGTTGAAAGCTTCAATAACAATAACAAAATTAGAGGATTCTTCTATAAGTGTTTGAGCAAGTGTGACTCTACTGAGGAATTTGAAAAAACATGGGCTGAAATGATTATGGAAGGGAACCTCCATAATTATGATTGGTTGGAGGATCTTTATAGGATAAGGAATAAGTGATCAATAACATTCAACGAGGACTATTTCAATATGGGTATTATATCCATGCAGTATAGCTAGTATACTAATAATGTGTGTCATGACATTTTAAAGCCAACAAGTTCTATAACTAATTATTTTCTAGACTTAGAAAAGGTGATGATGACTTGGTGCTGGAATGAATAGGATGAGTACTTCAAATACAGTCAGTCAAAAATAGTTCATGTAATAAAAAGCCGCTCAATATTAAAATAAGCTACTATATTTCACTTAAAAAAACTATATTTATTTTTTGAGGAATAATTTTGACTAAGTGTGGGTGAAATGAGTATAGACCTCGTCTTAAGTGATTCTTTGAAGTTTTTAGTCAAGTACATAAAGAATAAGGACCAATATATCCCTTAGGTTGTTGATTTTGATGACACAAAAGGTATCATTTAATGCATTTATATGAAGTTTGAGATGATAGGTTTGTTATCCTCTCACTACATGAGAGTTTTAAGGGAGCTGGATATGTGAAAATCCTTGAGAAGTACCTAATGTTGTGATGGTTAGCAAGAGCTCAAAAATATATATATTTAGATCACAATGGCATAGATATATAAAACAATAATTCTTAAGTAGGAAGTGGATTCATATTCAAAAATCATCTTATAGTAGATTTACATATCAAATTAGTACACGAGCGCGAGGAAATGAGGAGGCTGAGTAGTACATTTTGGCTGCAATAAAGGATATGGCTATAAATATAGACTTCATTCTTGATGGCAAGATAGAAAATGATAAGTTTGTTAGAAATAAATAAGGTGGTAGTGCAAATTGAAAGATCTACTAAAGCGTAGGCCTAAAGGCATATCTAATACAAGATTGAATGGCAATCAAGAAAAGAAGAAGAAGCTTAAGAATAAGATTTAACATCCTCACAATTTTCTTTACATTATATTTTATGCGATAATATATGTTTTATTAAGTCTAATTTTTTCAACAGAGAAACATTGCATCACTGAAAAAATAACATAAATTGATAATCCTTCAAAACAGATGAATTTATCTAGCATGCTTGAATACTTTGGTGAGTAATTCGTAATCGGGGCAATAACCATATAGCTAGGGCCTGAGTACATGAGCATGAGGATTGATATTATTTCTTCAGCTAATTATATTAAAATTTAATTGTAATAATTAATTATTATTTATTAAATAAAAAATAAACTTGTATTAAACTCAGTATTTCTATTAAATTTAGAATAATAAAATTAGATTTAATTTTTAATTCAATTCATGCTAGTAATATTTTTATAATATATATTCATTTAGTTCATGCTAGAATTTTTTTAACAATATACTTTTGATTAATGTATAAAATATTAACACTAGTAAAGAAGTGAAAGCATAGTAAAAGCATAATAAAAGTGCAGTTAAAGCTTAGTTAAAGCATAGTTAATCTATACTATCATTGAACTACATTTTTATTGTGCTTTTACTATGCTTTTGATGCACTTCAACTACACTTTTGCTCCTTTTTTATGCACTTTATTTCAACTAAGTGCGCTTTGGCTGTGCTATAGTGAAAAGGCTGTAAAATTAATTAACTGTGCTTTGGTTGCTTTATAGTGAAAACACAATTAATATAAATTAAAGTAATTTTCTAAAAAAATTTCCTTAATTTTAAAAAATTAAGGAATATTTTATAAAAAATTAATTAACTGCAATTTTTGTGATTTAGCTACACTTTTGTTGTAATTTAATAGTAACTATTAAATATAATTTAATTTTATTTAGAGGAAAAGCTTAGCAAAAGTTTAGTGAAAGCCCAATTAATTGTAGTTCTATCATTGAATTACGCTTTTGATGCACTTTCAATGTGCTTTTACTATGCTTATCTGGTGCTTTCAATGCGCTTATGTTATGCTTTTGATACGCTTTTGCAATGAAATTCCATCAAGAGTGTGGTAAAAAT